TAGATCCTTCCCCCACCCCCTCTCTTTCCTGCATCTGTCTGCACCCTAGCTTCCCCTAAGCACTGTGGTCTGTTGCAGGAGCTCCTAATCCCCGAGGTAGGGGAGAGCTAATCTTTTGAAAATGGGAACGAAATCTCCTGTAGCCTGGCTGATTTATGTGGCAAGGGCAAACAGCCCTCTCTATCTGCTGTATGTCATCTCGGCCCATCGCACGCTTGCATGAATAGGGACCCTCTCTCCTGGGAACATCCTTTGAACCAGCTGTTCGTGAGGGAGCCAGCTCTGGCCATGGATGGTATAAGGCCTGAATGAAGAGGCAGAATGTCTTTGACTGACCCTCTAGTATGCATCCCTCTCCTGTCTCTCTTTCCTTTGCTTCTTCAGCTCTCGCTGCTGCTTCCCCTCACCATTTTTCTGTCACTCCCCACAACCCAAAGAGTCAGGTTGCCTGCCTGGGTTGTCTGCTGATCCTAGCTCTGCCAGTGACTGTTCACATCACTAAAGCAAGTGGCTTTGCCTCTCTGCACCCTGGTTTACCAATCCAGGCAGTCAAAATACATTCTTTTCCTGCTTCCCTGGAGAAACATGAGTCCAGCTTCACTAATGCTTGGGGAGTGCCTTGAGGCTTTTAGAGAAGGGAAGGTGCTAAAGGAGTGTAAGTTATTAACACTTCTTTGTTTTGTCCCTCCTCTCCCAGCTGCGTTCCAGCACCGGTGGCCTCCCCCCCACGTCCCAGGTCCCCGGCGCTGTTCTTAGCACATGTGTGTGCACCGCTGTGGTCGAGCAGGGAGGGAGCTTTGAGGAACTCTGGAATGAGGAACGAATTTGAGGAATTCTCCTCTGTGCGGGGAGTTGAGACGTAGGAATTCTGCTTTACAGATGTTGACAGCTGCATCCCAGGGGAGTTGGGGAGAGAAGCTTGCGTCATCTCAGCTCTGCTTTTCAGACCAGGCGTCTCCTGGCCATTTTTCCTTGGAGCTGCTTTGGGAGTGGGATTTCAGGGGATGGGTCTGGCTGTCTGAGCTGGAGGGGATGCTGCTGCCCTCCACGCCATTGGGGTCTGCAGGCTCTTCCGGGTGGTTTCACCAGAGAGAGATGCAGCAGTGTCTTCCATAGTGCAGGATCATGTTGAACAGACTGTTACATTTGCTTGTGTGCTGTGCTCTGCTCCATGGATCTGGCGTCAGGTTGGCATGGGATCCCATTAGAAGAGTTGGTGGGCCTCCATGGATGTCTCAAAGCAGCTGAGTTTGAGATGAAGCTATTTTTCTGTAGAGCTGGATGAAGAGCTTAGGGCTGAGGGAGAGAGAGCATCATTCTTCTTCTCTTGGATGTTCTCTGTATCTTGCATTTCATGGCAGCTCCATATTTGTCTCAGTTCTGCTTCACTCACTCCTGGAGCAGCCTCCCAGTCTGTTTAGGCCACCACCTCCTACCACTTTTAAGACAATGAACAACCCCACTGAGTGCTCGCCTATGCTGTGAGCCTTTCCAGCGAGAGTCATTCTAGCGTGTGTAGAGTGCATAAAGATCCCACCTTCTGGCTGGGCTTTTCCTTCCACAACCCCCTTCTGGCATCAGTTAGCACCTAGAGTGAGTGGGAATGTGCTCTCGTTGGGGTCAGGTTCCTATAATGTGGGGAATCTCAGCTCTGGAGGTTTGGACCATAAGTTGTGCACAAAACTCCAGGGCAAAGCAAAGCACCCCACAGTATCAGATGAGCTGCATGCCCAAACTCAACAACAAGAGAACCAGAAATTGTCACTGACCTGCCTGGCTCCTCCGAGTGGTGCGCTTCTCAAACTGGGGCCTGTGTACTTATGCATGCGAATGCAAACTTCTAGGAACAGGAGAATGGAAGAAGGGAAGGGAAAGGAAGGAAAAAAATGAAGAACAGCTGTATCATGTCTCCTAGTCTGTCGGCGAGGTTACAGCATGGTTGGAGTGATAAAGAGTGTTGCTTTTTCTGTATCCATAATACAGCATCCTAGGGGTGGCAAGCAGGATAACAGAAGTAAAAGCGGGAACGCTGCCCAAAACAGTTTGAGAATGACAGTCCTATGGCAGAAGTAATCACACAGTATAAGCGCCTGATGCATCAGCATTTCTGTGGCACCAGTCAGCATAGATTTCAAGTTGAGGCTGAGCCACTTAAGATCCTAGTACAACTGGTGAAAGAATCACCTGTTTTCTGTGATTTTTTTTTCTAATGTCTCCTCCACACCACCCAGATCCTTCCCACTCCCTGGCCTGCTTTAAGAACCATTGCAGAAGTGCAAGATGGTCCAAGGGCTACTTGCTGTTTTCCTGGCTTCCTCTGCACTGCTAAAGCACTGGTCCGCTCCAACAGGGACTCTGTAAACCTGGCACCACAGGGCCTCTGTTTATTGTCTCACAGTGATTCAGATCCAATGCAGCCAATTTACAAGTGGAACCTTATTTTTTCCTAAGTGGCAGTTGTGCAAACACAGCCTAACATCTTAGTGCCAAGCTGGATGCTCCTTCCCATGCTTCACTACGAGCAGTAAATGGTCCATGAGCCAAATGTCATGCTCGCTGGTACTTGCAGAAGCTGAGAGCCCTCCATGGGATTGCCGAGGTGCAGCTGATGGGAGCCTAGTCATTCTCCTGATGATGTACAAGAAGGTATAGACTTCAACTCCTTCTCTCTCAGCCCTGCTGGCTCTACAGAAATAACAGGATAAATCAGAACCAGGATAAATAAAACCATATTTTTGTCATTAACTTTGGCAGTTCTGAGTTAACATCCCTGGGGTGTAGGTCCCTGGAGTAGAGGAGAGGGCCTTACATACTCACTCTGAAATGTAGAGCTGCACATTAATGGTTGTCTAGTGCTTTGAAGATGAAAAGCCCCTAGAAGTGCTAATTATTCCATCTAGGTCTCTCCTGCTTCTTCTGTGCTGGGGTGACTAGTCGCACATCCTTTGCAAGCAGCCACTCAAAGACCATTTTGCATGAGTTAACCTGTTTACAGAACATTTTAAACTGCAATAATGACTCGAACGAAAACCACCATTCCACAGTTTCCTTTTAATTAAGTATTGGCAGAAGGAAAGGAGCCTGGCCCTTATTCAACTCTCTTGCTTCCTTTAGTAGGGGTCCCCTACCTTTCCTGTCACAGAGCATATGCTTATGGCATTGGCCATACAAACAGTGCAGAGAAACAAGGAGAGGAAGGGAGAGAAAGAGAGAGATCTTTAGTGATGGAAAGTCGAGAGGAACTTGAATACAAGGCAGTGGGGCTGTGGAAGATGACCAAAGCTGCGAGGGAGAAGGTGCTTTCTCCCATGAGTAACCCAGCAAAATTTCAGCTGTGCTTCTTCCAATTATTGAATCCCAGCTTAAGAGAATGGCTCTTCTGGATCCAAACACCCCATATGAAACAAGGAACCTAATGAAAAATAACACATCATAGGCTTGAAGATGCAGCCACCTTGGATGAGAAATAGGTCCTCAGAGTGGCGGTATAGAGCAAAGAATGATTCAGTCTGACATCTGCTTGCAGGGAAGTCAGGGGTAAAAGTGAGACTAGAAATAATTAATCCTTTGTCCCCCGTCCCCCACCTCCCAACCTTTAAATACATTGTCCCCTTTTTCTTGCCTTTTTACTTAGCAAATAAATTCCAGAGATTTTAATCTTCTCTCAAGCCCCCAGATGAGAAGACAATGTCCTTGCTCTTTGTGGGAGGAAAGAATTAATTTGAATTCATTGCTAGAGGGAGTTGGGATCTTACATGATCAATCTTGTGTGTGCATGTGTATGTGCATGCGCACACATTAGGAGGACGGGGTAGTGGTCTCCACATTTGTATGGTTCCCGACATCTCAGAGTCTCCAAGGAACAGCGGGGCGTGCGCGAGGGTAAAGGAATGCCGAGACAATGCAATTCCTACATTTACAACCGTGACCTCAGCCTCTGCCCAGGCAGCAAAAATGCCAACCATCTGGTCCGTGGGCCATCCCTTGGCACACTGAGTGGGGACAGAGCTTAGGGGTGGAAGCAAAATGTCCCATCTCACCACTCGTCAAGCACCAGCCTCTATAAATATGAGCGTCCCCACAGGAGAGCTGAACAGCAGTGCCATCCCGTTGGGCAAAGGCCATGGGACAGTTCCTGCTGCTCCCTCCTTATGTAATGGGAGCTTGAGGGCTGCAGAGATGCTGGAAGTGGGGGCGGTTGGGCTGCGGTGGCAGGTGGAAAGCAGGAGGGTGGGTAAGATGCGCTAGAGTCTGCTGGGCTCTTTGGAAGAGGGTATGTGGAAGTGTGCGGAGAAGAAGCTGGAGTGAAAGACGGAGAGGACGACAAAGAGATGGGTCAGGTGCTGGTTTGCACACTGGGAGGTCAGTATGGCAAGGCTGGGGCACAGGCAAAGCTTTGTTGTGTATAGGGCTGCCACCAAGGGGCTTCAGAGGGCTTGAATCTGAGTCTGGGGCTTGAGTCTGCCTGGGGTAACTTGAGGGGGAAAGCTAAGCACTATCCTGCCAGCCCTGAGTGGGGCAGAAAGGGAGGCAGGGCAGAAACCAAAGCAGAGTGGAGCCAATGGGGAGTCTCAGCAAGGTGCGGTGTTTCCCCTGGCCACCAGTAGGACCTCGTCAAGTCTTGAGTCAGTCATCAGTGCCTCCATGACTGCGTTCCTCTGTCTGATGGTGCTTGTTGTAGCATCGATCCAGCTGTGCAGGGGCAGTTGCGATCTCAGGGAGTCCTGGACAAGGCAGCGTGTGTCTGAAGTGCGTGTACACAAGGTTGGTAGCTTTGTGTATACAAAGTGTTCGTTACCTCCCAGCTGTCCGTTCTCCCATGGATCTGACGTTTCCTGGAGTTTCTCCTTGAACAGAAGGCTGCGAAGGGGAATTGCTGTTTCAGCGGGTGCTGTATCTGCTCAAGTAGCGCATGTTTTCTGGTACATCCTGTGTTCACCACGCAGCTTGCCGTGGCTCTGGGGGCTCTGCACTAACAGTCTCTTCTCTCGTCTCCACAGAGCTCCTGGGATCAGCTAAGCGTCTGAATGTGAATTACCAGGACGCAGATGGGTGAGTGTTTCTCTGACCTTTCCGCTCCCTCCCAGTGGTGCGTTGGCACGTGCAGGTTATGCATCTGGGCCACTAACATCCCTGGCTAAACTTGAGAGCTACTGAACTTGCTATAGTATGTTCGTCTGGCGGGGATCCCTCTGGGTGTATTCTAGAGCTGGTTCAAGCTATCTTCCTGCCTTGGAAAGCCTGCCAAAGGCTGAGATAAGCACAATACCATTGCTTAAGCAAGCCCTACAGAACAGGCACAGGAGTCCATCAGACCTGGGATCAATGCTGTGCCAGGCCCATTCACGTTCCTCCCTTTATTCATGGTATAGTCTGCTTCAACCATCACCCTCCATATACCCCCAAACAGGACAAGCTTCAGTCATGAAACAGGAAGGTTGCTAAATAACAACAGTCATCACTTACAAATCCAAGTGCTTAACAGCAAGGCTGTGAAAAGTTAGGGAACCACAGGTTTTACACTGCCCATCTCAAACCAATTATCAAGGGCAAAAGATGCTTCATCTCTGCTTTAACTCTCACCAAGAGTTTGCTGGTGCTCTGTATGTATTATTTTGCTACTTAATTTCAAGACAAGCATTTTTATTTAGGAGACTGTTAAATGGGAAACACTGGTAGTATATTTATTGGACAGCAGAACTTTTTGATAAGAGGAAGTGAATATAGATAGTGTAGGAAGAATACTGCACATGTATTCACTCAATAGGAAAAGTGTTAGTAAAAGTGATAGTAATGGTAGTTTGTGGCGAAATGCTGCGTGCGTGCATGCATGCATTTGAAGCTGATTGATCTGTCAGTGAAGTAAAGATGTGTAATGGGCATGTGCTTGCTTTCAGAAGCACTTTTGTGCTGCTTAAGTTTTTCAGTTCCTGGGGGAAGAGTTGTGTTTCTTGGGTTGGAGGAAGGGAGCTGGTGTTGTGATGAGTCACATGTTTCTTTGCACTCAATAAGAATAGTATGTGTGCGCGCTGCTTGGGGGGCAGTTGGAAATTTATGATGTTTTTAACTCTGCATTTAGTTTGTAAATGATATGGTGAGCAAGCGTGTTTATTTAGCTAGGGATTAAGTTGTTTTGGCTTTTCGTCTTCCTTTACTTTCTATGTGTGCGGAGCTAAAGGGAGAGGGTTTCACCTTAGTAGTCAGCAAGGTGCGCAGCTCGCTTGCTTGGCTGGAGAGAGCTGTTCCCTTTGTGGATGAAACAAAGCAGAAGTGGTGCCAGCGAGGCATTGCTGCCATCAGGGCACACCTACCGCAATCCGCCCATTCACCGCGTAGCGACACTCCCCGTGTCTGGCACGGCATGCCCTCTGAATGCAGTAAACGTGGCTCAGAGGTCAGCTGAGGTCAGTGTCCTGATCCCAAGCGAAATGCACGCTGCAGCCTGTGCCTCCCACATGAAGCAGAAGTGCCCCCTGGCCAAGCCCATGGGTGCCAGGCTGGCTCCATTCATTCAGACACGGCTGCGGGTAATGAGAGCGCACACAGCGATCCAAGAAGGGGCATTGCAGAATACGAAGGGGCCCTACCTTCCTGCTCCTGGAACAAGGCAGCGGCAAAGTGATTGCCCGCTGGCAGGTTACTTGCGGCAGGTTGGGATTCACACGCGCTCCTGCGGAGCCCCGGGCCCGGCAAGCTCAGGTTCTTTTCCCGCCAGGCTTGCCTCCGAGCGCTGAGTTCCCATGCTGGTTCCCATCGGCTGTGCGCCTCTTTTGGTCAGACGCAGCCCTATGCATGAATGGAGCTGCCCCGAGCAGGGGGAGCGGCGGGAAGGAGAGAGCGCTCTAGACAAACAGGCCTCTTTCACAGCCCGGGAACACAGGGCTCATTCATTCTCACTGGCCTCACACACTCTGCCGTGGGCTTCTGACAGGGGGAGAGTCGTCACGCTGGCACCGAGACTGACGGTCGGAGCAGGCGAGGGGGGTACAGCTGGCAGGGGGTGGGGACAGGCCCAGGAATAGCCTGGAAAACTGGCCGAAAACCTGCCTTGGCTGCCGCTACCCAGAGAGGAGAGATGGCCCCTGCTGGTGGCATCAGGGCTCTGATGCCCCCAGCCCTGCCTGCTCGATAAAGGGCAAAGGCAGTCCTGGAAAAGCGCAGGCTCGGGGGGGACCTGGTGGCTGCCTATGAGTCCATCGGGGTGTGCATCAGAATCTGGGGGAACGTCTGTTCACCAGAGCGCCCCGAGGGATAACAAGGACCAACGGTCATAAACACTTCTGAGACAGTTTTAGGCTGGACGTAAGGAAAAATGTCTTTACTGTCCAAGCCCCCAAGGCCTGGAATAGACTCCCTCCAGAAGTGGTGCAGGCACCTACTCTGGACTCATTCAGGAAACGCTTGGATACTTATCTTGCTGAGTACCCACCCCTGGAGCAGGGGGCTGGATTCGATGATCTTCGAGGTCCCTTCCAGCCCTACCGTCTATGAAATGTATGAGTGTGGAGTGCTCCCACGCTAACAGGAATCCCTGGCACCTCTCTGGTGCAGCACTGATTCATCGCAAGGCCCTTGGCCAACCGCAAGGAGCCCATGCGGTGCCAGACATGGGTTAGGTGGCTGCACCTCCCTTCTGCTGACAGGGAAACTGAGGCATGCTGACTCAAGGCTCAGCACTGGGGCTCGCCAGAGGCAGCAAGCACAACGGGGGCTCTGGCACGGGTCCCTTCAGAGCTGGGCTTGGAAGCTGGCACGTCCTGGACTGGGGAGTCCAGAGGAATTTAGCCAGGGCAGGGGGGTGCATCAGGCAGGCCAGCACTGGGAACAGAGATGGCTGGGGGGGCTGGATGTGGGAAGGCGGGCACACAGGTGGTACTCTCTGAATTGGCCTGTCCTGCGGGAGCTCTCTGGATGGGGAGGAGTGGGGTATAGAGTGCTTGAAAGATGAGGTCCATCTCCTCGAACTCAAAGGCATTTGGCTGAAGGTACAAGGGGCTTTCAGAGAAGAGGTGCCCCCTCCCGACAGCTTCGTGCTCTGGGCCCTGCCTGGCCAGGGTCAGATGTGGTAGTGATGCTGTAGGAGAGAAAAGCTTGAACAGCGCCATGAAGCACGCAGCTGTTGTGTCATGTCTTAGCCCTCATTTTCGGAGGAGGGCTGGTCCCTCATGTTTCAGGTGGCTGGGCCTCTGCATGCAAGATGTGTGTTGGGGAAACACGGTGAAAGCAACATTGCACCAAACTCCTCCTTGGCAGAACTCCCCTCCAGTGAGCCGTCATGGTGTTTAATTTGATTGATAATGGGGAGATCCTGGGGACGGCCTCAGCCACAGCAGCCGCATCTGGGCTGGGAAAATGCAGGGGTGATGGACACCCAGCTCAGGAGACCTTCTGGTTGTAGAGGAGAGAAATAGCAACCTCTACCCCCAGGTGGGACTGGGCTCTGGGAGGGGACGGACCCAGGGAGCTTGCCGTTTGTGACACCCTTATCTTGTGGCTGTCCTCAGGTTCTCTGCCTTGCACCATGCGGCCCTGGGCGGGAGCCTGGAGCTCATCTCCCTGCTGCTGGAGGCACAGGCCACTGTTGACATCAAGGACAGCAACGGTAAGCAAGTGGCTTTTATCAGACCCAAGTCCTTGGCACTGCTGCTCCTCGCCCCACTCCATGGAGGGGAGAGACCACCCCAGCCACAGCAGCCCAAGGAAGGAGCAAGGCCTCCCTGCCTGCTGCTGCCTCAATGACAAGAACAACCCTTTCCCACCACTCCCCTATCCCTTCTGGGGACCAAGATCAGGCAGGAATTTGAAAGTGCCCTTCTCTCCCAACCTCAGAGGGTATCCGCTCCTCCCTACAACAGATGACCCCCCTACAGGGTGTGCTGTGCCCTACTGGAGTACAACAGCTGTAGAAACACGCCCAACCCCTCACCTTGCGAGCTACTTTCAGGCTAGGGTATAGCGGCTTGTTTGACTGCTGATCTGGGGGCTGAGATGGGTCCATGTGGTGCCATCTCCTTGGCAGCCCCCAGCTGGATCTGAGCCCTCCAGGTTTGAGGTCTTGCCCCCTGCCCGGGGGCTCCCCCAGTGCTGGTGCAGGTGTCAGGCCAAAAGCCAGCCTGCCTCAGCCCACTCCTGGTGTGGTTTCCCATCAGGGATGCGCCCGCTGCACTATGCCGCCTGGCAGGGCAGGGTGGAGCCAGTCCGTGTGCTGCTGCGGGCATCAGCCACGGTCAACATGGCATCGCTGGATGGGCAGATCCCGCTGCACCTATCTGCGCAATATGGGCACTACGAGGTGGTGAGTGAGTGGGCATGGGGCTGGAGGAAGGGGATGGGAGTTGCGGGAGCCAAGTGCCCTCAGCAGCAACTACCTGCCCTCCACGGGCCACGTGTGACAGCACCACTGCAGATCCTAATGTCCAGTGGTCTCCACCCAGACTCAGCTCCTCCCTGGGCTTGTGCCAGGGAAGGCCAGGAGCCACTTGCCAGCTGGCACCTTGTGGGAGCCCTTATGCCATTACCTGTCAGGGCACCCCTGCCTGGTGAAACGCTGGAGGCAGTTTGCCATGGAGCGGCCAAGTGGTTCCATGAAGGCCCTGGAAATCTGTGAAATGTCAGATGGAGGGAGCCGGCCTGCTGTGTGCTCCCCAGCACAGGTCACGTCCTGGGCAGGCTGCTGTCCCAGCAGGGCTCTCCCCAGCAGAAAGGTTGCAAGCCTGCTGGAGGAGTGGATGGGCGAGAGGGGCAAGGCGCGTGGCCAGCCTGCTTCACTTCCTCACGGGGCCCTGTCACTCTCCCACAGTCGGAGATGCTGCTGCAGCACCAGTCCAACCCCTGCCTCATCAACAAGGCCAAGAAAACCCCCCTGGACCTGGCCTGCGAGTTTGGTCGGCTGAAGGTAAGGGCACTGCCAACCTCCACCACACTGACGGGACTTGGTCCGCAATCAGTCATTAATGGATTTGCAATCAGAGAGCCTGAGTGGGGGCTGCCAGTTGGTGGAACCCAGACATCAGGACCCCCAGCCCTACCCCAGTCCACACGCCTTCTGCAGGTGGTTCCCAGACAGGCTGAGCCTCCCTGATCCCTGCAGGCACTGAGGGGCACAGCTAGGTCTGCAAGCCTCAGCTTCCAGTCTGTCAGGGCTTGAAGGATTCCTGGGGCAGGTGCACGGACCCCACTGTGGTCCTGGGAGCCTAGCAAGGTTGAAACCACGCGCCTGGGCTGGGCAGTGCCATTCATCCATCAATGGAACTGCCACAGACTGTCCCACGTGCCCTTCTGGTTTGGATGGGGCCATCTTTCTATTTCTGAGCGTGAAAAGCTATAAATAGTGCAGCAGAAATAAACCAGCCCAGTCCTGGGGCTGTCCCATGACACCCCCACTTCTCTGTGTGTCATGCAGGCCAGGGTGGCACATGCCAGGGCCTTGGGCACTGTCTGAATGGGGGCCTTGTGGGAGCAGCTATTCCTGTCTGCTGTGACCTTCCCAGCTACCGCTCCAGGGCACCAGCAGTCAGGCCCCTGACGGTGGCTGGGGCAGTAACCAAGCTTTGCCCTTCTCTGGCCCCTCCTGCTGAGGATGTGTGTGGGCCTGGGGTAAGGGAGGGGCAGGTCAGGACAGCCTGTGTGGAGGGGTGGCCACATTGTCCCTTCTGATGCCCCGTGAGCCGCCTGCCTGGGGGCAGTGGCAGGGAACATGATGTTCACACCCCTCCTTCCTCAGGCCCTCGGTTGCTCAGCCGTCTCCTCCCACCCTAGGTGGCCCTGTTGCTGCTGAACAGTCACATGTGTGTCGCACTCCTGGAGGGACAGTCAAAAGACTCGAGCGATCCCAACTACACCACCCCTCTGCACCTAGCAGCCAAGAATGGGCACAAGGAGATCATCAGGTAATAGCCGGGACTCCAGGAGCAGCCAGTTCCTGTCCCTTCCTCACCCACCTGGGCTCTTCAGCAGTGCCAGAGCCAGAGCACAGTGCCCAAATGTCTCTCCTCCCTCCCTGCTCCCTAGAAGGTCCCCACCAGCTCCCCTCTGCTTGCTCCAGTCCTCACCTTGGAGGGCAGTTCCCACTGCTCCTCTGCTCCTTCCTTCTGCCCCAGACTCTCCAGTCCTCTTTCCACTATCAGCCTGGCTCCCTCCAGCCCCCGCACCCCACAGCAAGAATCAGCATGTTCAGCTTTGGTCTCTGATGAACCCAAGACCATAGATTTGACCCAGAACTTATTGAGCCCAAGCTCTGCTGTACCAGCCCCACCTGCCCTGCCCCGTGCCCACGCCATCATCCCAGCTCTTGGTGCCCTCCCACTTCTGCACCATGGTGGCTGATTCTTTCCTCTCCTCCCACAGGCAGCTACTGAAAGCTGGGATCGAGATCAACAAGCAGACCAAGACAGGAACAGCCCTGCATGAGGCGGCACTGTACGGGAAGACGGAGGTGGTGCGCCTGCTGCTGGAAGTGAGCTGGAGGGCTGCTGCTGAGAGGAAGGGGAGAGAGTGGCTGGAGATGGAGAGAGTTTGTTGTGGGGGCTGATGGCAGAGGGGAGATGTAGCTCTGGCTTGGTTCTGCAGTGGCCAAGGCAAGAAGCAGCCTAGGACCCAGCTGCAGGGGCTACAACAAAGCCAGCGTAGCAAGCGTGAGCCTCCCCAACTAGCAGCACTCTGGGATTTGCTCCTTACCCAGCCCCATTCCCACTCCACATTGGTTCCCCGTGGCCTGAAGCAGCTGGAGGAGCAGGGCACTCTTCTTCCCAGGGTTTCTAAGAGCTGGGCTCCTCCTTTGCCCTTGGGAGGATGCTGGGCACAGGAAGTCCCACCTGGTCCCACAGCAGCAGTTCTAGCAGTTCAGTGCTGGGGCAGCTACGATCTGAGGTCCTGCACAAGACGAGAGCCCCCAGCCTCGTGCTAAGGGGGCCTCTCGCTGGATTTCTCATGGCAGGGTGGTGTGGACGTGAACATCCGCAACACCTACAACCAGACGGCCCTGGACATCGTGAACCAGTTCACCACCTCTCACGCCAGCAAGGACATCAAGCAGCTGCTGAGAGGTGAGCTGGCTCTGGGCCTAATGCCTCAACTTTGTTCCATGGGAGGCTGGTATCACAGCAACCTAGCCAGCCCCTGGCAGGAGCTGCTTACCTGGCTTGGTCTGACCTGATGCTGGCAAAAGCCTCCTTGCAAGATGTGTATAGCACGGTCCCAGCCCTCCTCCTACCCCCGCTAACCTGGCTTTGAGTGCTAAGGCCACAGACCTGCATCTTCCATGGCGACATACACCCCTGCCCGGGGCACACATCTGGGGGGATTGAGGAGACCAGCGCCCAGCTGTGTCATTAATGTTCTCTTCTGTCCTGTTCTTGCTCTCTCTGCCTTCCATCCCTCTTTTCCCTTCTCTTGCTTCCCCTCCACCCACTCTCCACCATCCTCTTTCTTCCCTTCTTCCCTTGTCTTCAGAGGCATCAGGAATCCTGAAAGTCCGGGCGCTGAAGGATTTTTGGAACCTACACGACCCAACAGCTCTCAACATTCGGGCAGGAGATGTCATCACGGTGAGCAAATGCCCGCGGACCGGGGCACCCCAGTAGCTGGGAGCCTCCCACAGCTGGGGCTCCTGTGCTGCCCTATGCGTTGGCTTCTACTGGAGCTGGAGCAGCTGCGATGGGTGCATCCCTCCTTGCTCCTACCCTTGAAGACTCGCCCTCATCCCCCCCGTCTCACCCGGCAGGTCCTGGAGCAGCACGCGGACGGGCGCTGGAAGGGGCACATCCACGATGCTCAGAAAGGCACGGACCGAGTGGGCTACTTCCCTCCCTCCATTGTCGAGGTCATCAGCAAGCGAGCAGGTGAGCACCGCCCTGGCAGGAGCGTGGAGTGTGTGTGGGGGGCAGGAGTGTCTGTCTCTGTGTCTGCTCCCCTGGCCCCCGACACCCCGCTTTCCCCACCAGTCAGCAGAGCCTGCACCTCCACCCCTACAGCAGCACAGTCAGGAGACAAGGTGGGGGGTCCAGAGCACCCCTTTCTAGCCTAGAGGGGTGTGGGTAGGGCCCGTACCTGCAGGTGGGTCAGGTAGCGATTGCCCCCAGCTGGGGCCTGGCGTTCAGATCCTGCTCTCTGCAGGAGTCAGTTTGGTGTCAGCCTCAGTTCTGCAGAGGTTTGAGCCTAGCTCCTCCACCAGCCCCTGATTTCATCCCAGCGGGGCTGCTGCCAGGGCAGGAGAGTGGAGCCAGGTCAGGGCTGAGACACAGAGCACAGGGCTCAGCAGAACTTAGGCCAGGCCGGGAAGGTCCTTCAGTCCCAACTGCACCAGGCTCACACGGCTGAGCCCCCTGCCCGGCCCCACAAGGTGCGGTGCCCTGTCCTGCCCCTGTGCCCTGCCCTGACGCACCTGTTTTGTCTTTGGATGCAGGTGTGACTCTTCCCCGCGCAGCGCCTACGCCCCAGCACCAGGGCCTCCCTGTGGGCCCGCAGCCCGGCACTGCTGCCCCCCGGGGCGAGTTGCAGCCACTCCCGGACGATGCTCCGCAGCCAGCCCTCCTCAGCAGCCCAGCTGCCTACGGCCACCTCACCCTGCCCAGGATGGCCCCTGGGCCTGAGAGCTCAGGTCAGGGTCTGCGCTGGGGAGAAGACAACAGGGGTGGGATTGGAGCCCTTTCCCCCGCTGTCCTGGCCTTCATGTGGGAGGGAGAACATCTCCCTCCAGCTCTGAGGGAGCCTGGCTGAGAGAGAAGCAAGTCTCAGGGGCAGTGTAGCTCAGGGGGCTGCAGCCAGCCATGCACACACCCCTACCCCCCCTCCCCTCTCCTCTCCTGCCCCTGTCTGTCCCGTGTGCTGAGTGGTGCTGAAGGACTGAGTCTGTCAGGCCTGTAACTCAGCCTGGTGCAGGACCATGCCAGGCTCAGTCCCTGGCATGGGTGGCCGCCTTCTGCCAATGCATGTAGGTCTCTCTCTGCAAGGAGAGATTGGTGCCCTGTGCACCTGCCAGCTCCTTCGCTCCAGCCCAGAGCTTCCTCGCTGCACAAGATGGGCAGGGGGGCATTGCTAGCAAATATGCTGGTGGATGCCGTGGGTACCTGGGTTGCCCAGTGCTGCAGAGGCCACGGGGATGGGCCAGGTGCCTCCCCCAGCACCCGCTCACATGCGCCTCTCCTCACCCTGTGACAGCAGGAGACAGGAACAGCGTGGGCAGCGAGGGCAGCATCGGCAGCATCCGCAGTGCTGGCAGCGGGCAGAGCACCGAGGGCACCAGTGGGCAGAGCACCGGCCTCCTCATTGAGAACGCCAAGGTATGGGGCAGGGCCCGCCAGCGCCCTGGGGCTGCCCTCAGCACCACCCTCCCTTGCTGGTCTCCAGAGCCCTCTTCTGCTGCTGCAGGGGGACACTGGAGGCTGGGACCCTCAGCATGAGGCAGCCCTGTTGCAGTCATACCCCGGTCCCTAGGGGAGCAGCCCTCGCTTGCTGCAGGTGCTGGGACGAGCCCCAGGGGCCGTGGGGGGGGGCTCCAGGTTCACTGCTCACACACTTGTGATTCTCTTTGCACAGCCGCTGCCCCCTGGCGGTGAGGACCTGCCACAGCACCTCCTGGGAGCCGACCCCCGGAACGGGCAGCCCCACTCCGTGCTGGGTAAGGGACAGGGCCGGTGCGAAGGCTGGGAGTCTCCCTTCGCCCCCCATTGCCCTTAGGGCCCTGCGTGACTGCTGGCAGCCAGCCCGAGGCAGGGGAACAGCTCCCAGTTTGCAGGTCCTGCGTGGCAAGACACGTGCAACCTGCTCAGCTGAGGTCATGTCATGTCACGGCCAGGGCACAGCACTGCCCTGCCAGTGGGCCTTGTGGCTGTGCCAGCACTGGCAGGGCATGGCTCTGTACACGGCCCCCTCAGGACACCTGGGCTCTGGTCCCAGCTCTCCCTGTATGACCATTGCCAAGTCATGTGCACCCTCTGAGGAAGGGGGTGGGACATGCCTGCCGCTCTCCCAGAGGGGCTTGGTGCAGGGCCAAGGAAGCTGTGAACCCCTTCCTGCCCTTGCACGGGTTTTGCTGTGCCTCTGTGGTATATTTTGCACCCTTCAAGCACACCCAGGAGCCTGATAGGGGGAGTTTGAGGGCTGCAAAGCCACAAGCAGGCCATGCTGAATGCTGCCTCCCCCGTTGCTCCGGTCACCTGGGGAAGCACTGTCCCCACTCCCTCCCAGCTTGCCCCAGGAAGGGATCAGCTCCTGAGGGCACATGCGGTTTGGAGGAGACATGGCTTGCGCTAGGCTGGCTCTGGGCTGCTGCCAGGCCCTGGGTCAGTGCTGGGAAGGCTTCTGCTTCCATCTCACAGACCTCGGGAGAGGAAGGAGCAGCCAGAGGCCTAGAAGCAGTGCTGCCCAATGGCTGCAGCATGGGGCGAGGGACAGGAGGGTGACATTCAGGGCGGGTGGCAGAGTGAGGGGCAAAACCTTCCACCCTTTACATGCACGTCCCAACGTCCAGGCCACACAGGGAAGCCAGGGGCCCCGAGGGTGGGTTACAGCCTCGTGGGAAGCAGAGGCAGGGGCTCACTCTGCTCACTCTCCCCATCTCTGCACAGGATCCCTGGGGCACCAGAACCTGGCCAACTGCACCCCCAGCGACAGGGGCTTCTCTCACCACTACTTCCGCCCCGACCAGCTCCTGGAGGGAAAGGTACGTGGATCCCTGAACGGCACGGCACAGCACAGCAACGCAGGGGCCTGGGGCTGGCTGAGCCGCAGGCTGACACGTCAAGCAGCTCCCGCCTTCTGCTCGCTGCTGCTGCATAAGCTACATCTAATACAAGCCCCAGCAGGGGCTGAGAGGTGCCATCACCCCAGTGTCACGCTCCTGGCCCTTCATGGGGCTTGCACCCAACTCCCTTTGTCTGCCTGGGTTAAGACGGGGTTGAGGAAGGCAGTTCTCCTTGTCCACAGCCCAGAGGCACCTACTGCCTGGCATAGATTAGTCCAAAATATTCCTGCCGCTCCACACGGCTGCCCCCAGCCTGAGCCGCTCTGTGTTGGCTTCTCTCCCCAGGACGCAGAAGCAATTTACAACTGGCTGAGCGAGTTCCAGCTGGAGTCCTACACAACCAACTTCCTCAGTGCCGGCTATGACGTCCCCACCATCAGCCGCATGACCCCCGAGGTGAGGCCAGGCGGATGCAGGCGGTCAGGGGGCACCAGGGGAGAGTAGGGCATGGGCACGACCGCTCAGCCTCTCCCGGGACCAGCAGCAGCCCAGAGATCCCTGCCACCCCGTCGCTCCCCGCACGGTATTTCTAGAGCTCTGAGTGCCCTGGATGAGAACTAGTCAGAGCATCCCCTCACCCCGCATCTGTGAGATAAGCCAACTCCTCATACAGCGTTAACCTGAGCTGCACATCCTCACGAACCCCTCTGCTGCTGCTTGTAGGACCTAACAGCCATTGGCGTGACCAAGCCTGGGCACCGCAAGAAGATCTCCACGGAAATCGGGCAGCTCAGCATCGCCGAGTGGCTGCCTAATTACATTCCTGTGAGTACCAAGGGTGCAGCCACCCCACAGGCTCTCCTGTCGGTCACTTCAGCAGGCTGGACCCTGTTCCCAGGAGGGGTGGCTAGTGCTGGCTTCCCATCACACAGCATCAGAAGGCCATGTGCATTGAAGCTTTTCTGGGCCCTTTACCTAGGGGTTGGTTTTCCCTGCAGCAAGGGGTGGGCTGGGGGAGCTGCCAGCTTGCTCATGTCCCCTCCAGTGCCTGCTGACCCTGTTCCTGATCAGAGCTTGCCCAGACCAAACAGAGATCAGCTCTGGCCTTGGCCTCCAGCTCACTGAGGAGACAACCAGCAAGTACCCAGCTATGTCCCAGGCTGGGAGGAGGCAAGTCTGTGGGGGGAAGAGAGCCGCAGGTGGGGGCACCCCTTCCCTCACACGTCCCTGTGCCACTGCAGGTGGATCTGATGGAGTGGCTGAGTGCCATTGGCCTGCCCCAGTACCACAAGAAGCTGGTGAACAACGGCTATGACTCCATCACCATCCTGACGGAGCTGACGTGGGAGGACCTGCAGGAGATTGGCATCAACAAACTGGGTGAGAACGGGGAGGGGTTCAAGAGTGGCTGGGGCAGAGGATGAATGAGGCAGAGCCTCCTGGTCCCTCACTTGCTGCCTTGAACCCAGCCCACACAGTCCAGACTCAGGGCAGCAGGAGTGTGGGGAGCCCCAGGTCCTGCCTGGAGCAGGGGTTGTTCTAGCCTTGACCACTGGCTGTGGCCGAATGGGGCAGTGGGGATGAAGGTCTCCTGTTGCTTTTGTGCCTCCTACAGGCCACCAGAAGAAGATCATGTTGGCTGTCAAGAAACTGAGGGACCTCCGCAAGAGCCTAAACCAGGCTGAAGCCAACCCGGCCACACGCAAAATCCCCGGCACCTTGGACATCGTTACCATCGAGTCCATCGAGAACGGCGAGTGCCAGTCCCCGCACACCCCGAAGATGATCACCTTCCAGGACAGCGAGCTAAGCTACGAACTTCAGACGGCCATGTCCAACAGCTGCCAGGAAACACTCACCATTAAGAACAGCCAGGGCATGTCTCGCAGCCAGGAGAGCATCGGCGTTCGCTCCAGGGGCTCGGGGCATTCTCAGGACAACATGTTGTCCAGGACTGCCCTCTCCAGCCACTCCCAGGAGAGCCTGGGCAGTGGGAGCAGCAGCAGCAGCAGCGGGCACTCATCCACACAGCCTCAGCAGAAGGAGGGTGCGGGGCTGCCGTCCGGGAAGTCCACCCAGGAGAGTGGTGGGAAGCATGTCTCCCAGCCACCTGCTGGGGAGGGGCTGAATGGCTATTCCCATGGGGCTGGGGGAAGCCCCTTGAAAGAGAGGAACCTGCCTGAAGGCACAGACCAGTACCAGCGTCCTGTGGCTCCAAAGGGAAACGGGCTTCCCATGCCACCCTGCACCCCACCGCCCTGCACCCCACCCCAAACACCCAGCAAGGGCTCTGCTCCCTATGTCTTCATGTACCCTCACATCTCCTTGAAATCCCACCCTGGCTCTTCTCCGCTGGCGCCTGAGCACCCGAAGACCCCAGCACACCTGCCCCCCCATTTCTTGCCCACCCAGAAGAGCTCGCTGCAGTCCTCAGCCCAGAAAACCTTCTCCTATCTCCATGCCCGCTGCACTGGCACGGAGGCCCCTCACGTGCCCCCAAAGCCTGGTACCACCCCAGGCCCCTGGCAGCCTGGGGACCAGCCCAACGGTGACATCTTCAAACACAAGAAGCGATCACACAGCCTGAACCGCTACGCGCTGTCAGACGGTGAGCACGAGGATGAAGATGCACCCACCAGCACCCTGGGCTCTTATGCCACCCTCACCCGGCGTCCTGGGCGGAGCCAGGTCCCACGCACCTGCGTGCAGACGGACTCCAAGGTCAGCCGCAGCCAGTCCTTTGCCATCCGGGCCAAGAGGAAAGGGCCCCCGCCACCCCCACCCAAGCGCCTGAGCTCCGTCTCCAGCGCCCAGGCCCTGGAGGCAGAGAGTGAGCAGGGTCCAGAGACTGACAGGAGGCCACTTTCCTCCCCGGACGTGGGTCACTCGTCCAGACTGGATACCAGTGAGGTCAGCGGCAGCCGGACTGTGAAGAACCTCGCTGCCATGCTCGAGGGGGCTCCGGCAGGTGGGAGCCCCCCCAAGCCTCCCCTGTTCCACAAGCCCCCGAATCCCGACCAGAGCTCCATGCCTAGAGCAACACCGGACGACCAGGAGACTGGGGGTGCAGGAGATGCCTGCAGCTCCTGGCTGGTAGCAAGCGAATGGGACGGTGTTGAGGGCAACAAGCCCCGGAGACGGACGCTGAGCGAGCCCAGTGTGCCTCTGACTGAGGCCCTGCAGGGCAGCCTGGAGGACGTCCGGTCGGACACAGAGGAAGAGCCACATGCTGGTGGGGAGGAGGGTGGGGTCTCCTCCTCATCCTCCCAGAACAGCTCCAGCGAGTGCATCCCTTTTGCAGAGGAAGGCAACCTGACCATCAAACAGCGGCCAAAGCCCACAGGGCAGCTCCGTGCAGATGCTGCCACACTGGACTCGGAGCCTCCATGCGCCTCCCCTGGGATGGCACCGGGAGTAGCCAGGGAGCCAGAGATGCCCGAGTTCAACCTCACAGAGTCAGACACAGTGAAGCGCCGGCCCCGGTGCAGAGAGCGGGAGCCACTGCAGGCCGTGCTCAAGGCATTCAGCTTGGCTGGCCAAAGCGAGGACCCGGGCAGCCCTGGCCCGCAGTACGCTCAGGCCCAGGCTGTGAGCATCACGGGCCCAGCTTCCCCCACACCAGGGACACCGCCGCCACCCGCAGACGTGCTGGATGACGACAGCGTGGAGTTCCGCATCGCTGAGATCGAGAAGAGCATCCTGTCCCTGGAGAAGGGCATCCGGAAACGCCCCGTCCCCCTGAGAGCCGCCAGCCCAGCAGAGATGCATGGGGCAGCCATCCTGAGGACGCCGACCACGGGAGCAGGTACGTGCAAGCCCCTGCCCCAACCCCCACCTTGTGTGTGCCCAGGCTGAGTTATTGGCCTCATGCAGCAGGGAGTGGTGCTGGGCATGGCACAGGGGACCGGCCCAATGCTGGCCTCACTTCAGGGGCCCCGGAGGAGGTGGCTTCTGCTCTGTGCCCAGCTCCCCTCAGCAGCAGCCAGGCTGTGGGCCTCACTCCTGCCAGTTTGGCACTTGGTCTGCCCTGGCTGCCTGCAACGAGCATTGCCTCCCCAGCCAGGGCCAGGCACTGCCCAGGAAAGCAGCTGAGCCACAGCTGTACCTGCTCCCTTGCAGATGCCTCAGCCAAGCACACGTCCGTGGCCTCCACCAAGCTGGTGTTTTCTGGGCCAAAAACCATCTACCAGCAGGTCCAACAGATGCCCTGCAGTACTGTTGGCCCCTGGGCAGCCACCAACATGGCTTTGGATGCAGCTGTAGCACCCTGCCCAGGCACCAAGGGTGCTGGGAACAGCGGGGAGCCCATTGTGGCAAAGCCTCTGGATGCAGCCTGGGCCCAGCAGAGGTTGGAACAAACCAGCTCCTCCCTGAGGGCTGCCCTGCAGGTGGCAGAGAAGATAACAGCGGAGGAGGCAGACAGGTGAGGAAGCCCCTTGCAGCAGAGCAAGGGGTACTGTGGGCCAGCAGCGCTAGGGGGCGGGCAGCGGGGTATCAGCAGGGTGCTTAGCCCGGGTTGGCTGCTGAGGGCCTGGTAACCCAGGAGCCGCACAGCTCCATCACAGAAGTGCCATGAATTCCAGGAGCCACTGCTGCCACCTCCTGCAGCACGGGGCTGAAGGGGGGGGGCTGGGGTGGCAACCTGCCCCCAGCATGGGGGGTATGGGTCACTGGCCTTGCTGGCCAAGGTAGCTGCGGGACCAACCTAGGCTGACCATCACCTCTCCTGCTCTTCCAGCCACTATGGGGCCGAGCCCTTGGCTAAGAACATCCTGGAGGACATCAGCAACATGTTTGATGACCTGGCCGACCAGCTGGATGCCATGCTGGAATGAGATGCCCACCCCTACCTTCCCCCACCCGCCAGCCCCAGCTATGGCTTGTTCTGCCCTGGGACCCGGGCACTGCCCATGGATCAGCGCAGCCGCCCCCCAGCACTTCCTGCTGTGCCAGGGGACGTGCCCAGCCTCACCTTGCCCACCTGCAGTGTCACAGCTGTGCGCAGATCAGATGCAGCCCACCACAAAGGGAGCTGGAGTCCTGGCTGCCATGTTGCCCAGCAGCTTTTGGCAGCACTGTTTCCACTGCTCAGTGCCAGCTCTCCAGGCCGTCACGTGCGCTCTCGGGATAAACCCAGTTCACAGCTGCCACCCTTAGTTGGTTCTGGGGTGGCCAAGAGCTGCTCTGGCACCAACCCCCTTGCCCAAAACAAGGAAGCTTTTGCAAGGGCCCTTTCCCTTCACTCCCCACAAGACCCAGGCCTGCCTCCTGTTATTTATACCTTGCCAACAATGTGTCAGGGGCGAGGCGCTCCCTGAGCAGCCTCCCAGCCTAGCAAGGCCCAGCAGCAGCTGAAATGAGATGGGACGTGTTGGACCTTGACAGCTGTCGGGGCGAGGGGAACCCTTTTTGCTTTGTGCGGTGCTTTCCAAACACATCAGCTCACAGCAGCGTGTAATCCAAGGGGACTGAAATCCCCACAGAGCCCCAGCCTCAGGAACGGGCTGGCTCAGCCTGGATCCCACCAAGGAGGAAACGGGTCTGACATGTCAGTAGCAGCCTTGGCAAAGGCCGAGGTCCCCCCGCCCTGTCTCTGTGCTCGTTGTGAGTATTCAGTGTTCATGTCAATAGAGCAGGCAGCTGGGCTGATGCCAGGCTGGCTGGGTGGTGATGCCAACATGGAGGGGCCCCACTCCTGGCTCTGGCTGGAAGGTGCCCCTACCCCCAGGAGGTAGGTTTGGGCTTGAGGGCAAAGGTGTACTTCCAAACCCCACCTCTCGCCCGTCCCCCAGCAGGGAGATTACCTGGGAGATGCTCATGGCTGGCTGGTAGCAAAGCTGTGCATTTAGAAGCTTCCAGCAAGCAGGGACCTGAGGAAGTGCCTCCTCCCCATACTGAACACTGACCCACGCAGCGCTGAGCACCACCTCATCGCTCTCCACCAACTTAGCCTGTGGCAGCTGCTCACCACTCTGCCACGGACTAGCAGCCACCCCTCACTCTGCTCCCTGAGGGCCGAGCGGCTCCGAGAACGTCTCTCACCACATTCAGGTGGCTCTTGTGCCCCAGTACATCTGGCTGCTCTGAACTTAGCACTGGCCTGAAACTCCAAGCTGAGAAAAGCCTCAGGGCCATGAAAAGCAAATGCTGCATGTTTGGGCCTGAAGAGCTATTTGATGAAAAAACCCCTTCTTTACAAAACCAAACTGCCATCATGAGGGCGACCAAAGAGGCCGCTAGAAACACAAGACTGCTGAAAGCATCAGTCCTCAGCTCCAACATGGGAGTCCCTTGGAGACCCACACATGCCACAGGGGCACAGCTCATGCCAACCTCGCCCCATGGCCTGGGCCAGAGGCAGCACGTGAGCCAGCCGGTCGCATTGTGCTTTCCATGCTGGGGGCGGGGGGAGACAGCAGCAGCAGCATCACTGTCTGGCAAGTGCTACGAGGGGGACTGACTTGCTCTTTTGAAATTGCTGAAACCAGTGGCACTTTATGGAAGGGTTTAAAGGAGCCTTTTTAAAAGGGTTTTAATGTCATGGGATTTGACTTGGGATGAGTCCGGTTTTTTCAATGTTGATAAACTGTACATGTTTTTTTAAAGAGAAGTCTATATATATATATATTATATATATATATATTTTAAATGTGATTTATTATATATTTACTAACCAGAGTTCAGAGTCCCTGTATTCTAGGTTCAGGGATAAAAAAAAGGACACTGGGGCGGAGCTGCGGTATTATCTGAGCCACCGGAGGGCAGCCACACACTGTCTAGAAGGGACGCGAAGCATCTGCTGCTGGAGGAAAGCTGGATTTGGACCTCTAGGTCTCTGTTGAAGATGCCGCGCGCCACGTAAGGGATGTACAGGCGCGGCCGCATCTCACCAGCCCCCGATGGCACCTGCCAGCAGATTTCAAACCATCTGCTCTAGTTGCGTTAATCCTGCGTTCTGTTTTCCACTAACATTGACTACAACTTAACTCTATTAAACACTGGGGCATTTCCCCCCTTTGATAGTTCTGCCCTCTCGTCTGTCGTGTCGGGCACTGGCTCTGCGGAGAACGCCGTGCTCCTGGGGAAGGAGGAGGTTCCTGCCGTGGGGCTGAGATTTACCTCTCACTAACCAGCAGCAGTGAAGAGCAGCACCAGTCCTCTCAGCGTGGCAGGCCTCTACATAAAACACACCTCCACTTCTCTGTGCCGCTCTGCAGGCAAAAGCAACCTCTTCCCTTCCCCCTGGAGACCAGAGCCTTGCACTAGTGCTGCAGAGGCCTGCACACAGCCATGCCTAGAGCCAGCCCAGCTGCACTAGCTCACCCCCTGCTGCTGTTCACCTTCTCAGCTGCAACCACAACACAGCTGCTCCTCTTGGAGCCTTGCAATACCCCAGCCTACTGTGAACCATGCCCAAGTGCTCCAGGGACTGCAGGTGTCATTCGGACAGAGCCCTGGCTCCAGCCGACAGGGAGGCACACAGGCTGCCCTCCCTGCCACCAATGCCCACACCAGCCGGATAAACACAGGCTGCCTCTCCCTGGGGCACAGTATCAAAGACCATCATTTATTGCCATTCATCCATCGGGGCTTGCGGCCTCTATACAGTTTACAAGGTTTCATACAAATCAGGATTTAGTTTGTTTGTTTTTTTTACACACAGCCCAAAAAAAGGCGTAGAAAATGTACACTGCTAAAAACCTGCACCAGGGGAGGGTGCTCACAGCCGGCCCCCATGTGCCCCGATCAGCTAAGGGAGGGGAGGAGGAGCAAGGAACAAGGCCTGTAGAGTCCCAGTGACTGCTGGAACAGTGTGAGGTTGCTACCACTTTGGCTGGGGCTGGCGTGAGGACAGCAAGGGCGCAATGGTTCAGTGGGAGGAGAGGAACCAGCTACCTCCCATCCCTGGCAGCTGCCACTTTTAAATCACACCATGTCACTCCAGGAACAGGAAGCCCACATCGAGGCCTCCAATCTGGGCAAGATCAGAGCAGCAGGGCGCAGTGTCTGACGCCCAACCACTGAGGCAGCTGAGCCTGCAAAGAGCTTGCTCCTACCTGCCCTCTGGTTCCGCGCTCTCAGGGAAATCCTGCAAGTGCGAGTGAGTTAATGAGCGTGGCAGGTGGGCTGTCTTGCTCTCCCACAGCCAGGGCAGCTCTGCAGAGCTAAGAGGAGTGAAGAGGCAGAGTTTAATCAGCAACAGGTGTGGGTCCAACAGACCAGCTAGGGGCAGAGAGGCCGAGAGGCTGCAGGATGGAGGCATGGCTCAGGCCAGGCTCCCACTAGACAAGCCTACTTTGCCCAGCAGGAGGCGAGAGGTCCAGGCAGGCCAGGGCTGCAGAGAGCATGTGCTATGAGGTCCTTGACAGCCCCTGATGCTGCCTTCCTGCCTCTTCACCCCTGCCCCAGGGAAGATTCTCACTGTGCCCCTTTGCCCAAGCTGGGAAACACTAATCAGCCTCCAGCCTGGGTGGGTACAGCATCAAATGCCCATGAGCCCCGGGACGGGCACTGATGGTCTATTACCTCCTGCTTACGCCAGGGGCTGAGCCCTACTTAGCATCAGTCTGGTCCCACACTAAGGTGTCTGCTGCAGTTGATTCCCCAGGGAAGAGGGGTGAGTAGACCCCATCAAAGGTGCTGGAGGGTCAGCACCCTCATGGTAGAGGATCAGAGCAGGTTCACACCATCAATCTCACACCCATGGAGCAGAGCCCAGGGCACCTCCCCCACCCCGACCTGGGTCAGCTGCTCTACCCCGTCTCTCCCAATGCCCCACAGGTTCTGTGGGGGGGAACTGGGATATTGCTTAGAGGCGCCAGCAGTGGGGCTGAGCCATACCCTCAGAGACGAGGAAGACAAGGCAGAGCAACAGAGAAGTAGTCGGGGTATCCCTAACCCTTTCCCTGCCTCCCAGGGAACAGCTGACAGCCACAGGGCAGAGGCCAAAGGGGAGGTGTCCATGCTGTGATGGCAGAGGCCTCCATTTCCCTGACCCCTGTGGTTGCAGAGCACAGGACAGGGAGCAAGATCCATGGCTGCTGAGAACGGCCTGTGGCTCTTGCTTGCAGGGATGCAGCTTACGTAGGACCTCCCTGGCAGTGAATGAGGGACGCACCAGGAGCAGCAGGGCAGCGATAGATGCCCCAAGGGAAACAGCTGCCTGCCACCAGGAGCTGTCAGAGTGACGGAATCATGGGAGGGCCCCCCCCCCCGAGAACTAGCACAGAAGGATTGGAGGGAACTGAGGGGTTGGCACTTGGCGGAGGGCTCACAGCCGCTCCCTGCAGCAAGCACCATGCTCGGTACAGCCTGAGACCTGGGAAGGGTGATATGGCCAGGCCTACTCATTGCAGCACTGTCAGGCAGGGGTGAGCCTGCTGCTGGCCTTGCCTGAACATCCCCCTCCCCTGCCACAGAGGTAAGGAGCCTAGGGGGGCCTATCTGTGCCTCTCCTTCAGCCAAGGGCAGCGCCAACCTCTGCTCTCTCACCAGGCTACCCAAGCAACAGCTGCAGGGGCGGGTCTCACTGGGGCAGGCCAGGGACAAGGCCCCACACGTGGGAGACAACCAACAAGTTGCCCTGTCTGGGGGCGATGCTATGGGGTCTCTGCCCAGAGGAACCAGAGCTGGCCAGGCCAAGGCCACAGTGGAAGGCAGGGCTCCTCTGACTCCTACCTCAAGGGGCCTCCAGCCCCAGGTGGGGTGGAGAAGGGACCCAGCTGCCTGCATCTGGACCTCTTCTGCCAGGCTGCCAGTATGCTCACTGGTTGTTAGGGGGGCAGGTGTGACACAGCCCCCAGATGCAGCGCTAGAGACCTCTCCTGGAGCCAGAGCCAGAGCCAGCGATGGACCCCGGTCCCTTCCTAGAGCTCAGGGCTCGGCTCTGCGCAGCCACAACCGATGCAGGGGAAAGGCTCCACAGAGAGCAGTCGCTTCATTTCAGCATCATCGTGATCCCAAAACAGAATAAATAAACGTGAGGCCTTGCTGCCACAGGGCTCCTGGCCAGGCAGAGGCCTCCAACCTGCTCCAGCGCTCCCAGCCAACCAAGGCTGCCTGTCCAGTTAGAGGTGTGGGCATTGCTTTGCTGGGTCCCGGCCAAGTCCACAAGTGAGGGACATTTGCAGGCAGGCATCTCCCAGGGTGGGTTAAGGTTGAGCAGGCAGGGAGTGGGCACCCCTCCCCTCGCACAGCAGCTCCGTGGGACTCGTGTCACGCAGGGGTTAGAAGGGAGAATTCATCCCCAGCTTGGTTTCAAACTGTAGCTTCTGCCTCTTCTGGTAACGGACACGGACCCTGGGGAGGGTGAAGGAGGGGAGCGCCACATAAGGCAGGTGTTGGGGGCAAGACGACAAGGGCAGGCCCCTTGGCAGCTCAAAGAGCAGCCCTGGACCTGGGGCAGCCCTGTATACAGAGCCCAGGCACCCCAGCAGCCAGCCAAACCAGCACACAGCAGCCAGGCACCCAGGCCCTGTGGCACTCTAGTGCAGCTGCTGGGAAGTGCCTGGCCACTCCCTTCAAGTGTATGAAAGGAGGTTTTATCTGGATTCAGGAATTTCCCTGGGGATCAGATCCTCCTCAGCTCTACCAGCACCCTCAGCTCTGAGTGAGCAGTCCCCATCAAACCAGCCCACTGCCAACTTGCCCTCACTGCCCTTCCACTTCAGTGACTGTTGGAAAGAGACTTTCTCCCACTGGCTGTGAAGGTAACTGGGGGGGCCCACGTTCTCCTAGGACGAGGTGGGGGAAATGGACCTCCAGCCCCTTTGTTAGTTCAGAGGCACTTATTCCATCTGAGGTACTGGGCTGCTGGGTCTCAAGTAAAGGCATCTCAGCCTTGTTTGATCTCTTCACAAGTGTTTCCAGGCCCCAGTCACTCTCACTCCCCATCCCTGATCCCTCCAAGGGAGGGTCCAAACCTGCCTCCTAGGATCCCAGAGTGGTGTCACTGCTGATTTATGCCACAACATTTTCTATAGGCTCCACTCTGTTCCTTAAGCATTGGCTCGGCCCAGCCCAGGGGCAGACTGGGAGCTGGGGGGTGACCGGACTGTGAGGCTTCCTTCCTCCTGCCCCAGCTTTGGTGCCTTACCGGATTTCATGAAGCTTGACAATCTCGTTGATGATGACCACCAGGATGAGCGAGAGGAAGCCCAGCAGCCACGACACCGGGGAAACGTGCAAGGAGCTGAAGGGCAGTGGAGACTCCAGGTTCACCCAGAGGTTCAGGTCCAGAGCTGTCTGCACAACCTGACCCAGCAGCCTAGGCCGGGCATGGGAAGAGGGCAGTGGCAATCAGCAGAGTGAGCAGGCTCCTAGGCTCAGCCCCCAATGCCCCATCTCCTCCCCCTCTGGGGCATCCACCTGAGGCCTGCCCCACTCCTGATGAAAGCATCTCCTCCATACTTAAGGATCTTCTAGGAGCCTTCTGCCAGCAGCTCCCATACAGGGACAGGTGCGTGGAGCAGACAGAATACAACCAGGCTCAGACCAACCCTGCTCTCCCACTCCCCTCCCCTGTGGGGGATGCCAGCCCTCTCCTCCCTGGTACATTTGGAGCCCAGAGTACTCACACAACAATCACAGTCATGGCCCACCAGCGGTTGGACAGGGGGCTCTTCTTCCACAATGGCTGCGTGCGATGGACGTGGGTGATGGATATGAACACTGAGGAGAAGCAAAGAGGGGTTACTCCCTGCTGCCTGCACAAGCCCATGCTCCTTGCAGCCATGCAAGGGAAGGAGGGAGCCCCTAGCTTGAGCTGGTTGCGGCACCAGGCACTACCTTCCAGCCAGGGGTCTTGAGGCGCTTCACAGAACCACACCCCAACAAAGCAAGGCAGGAGACCATGCTCTCCAGAGGCGGAAACTGAGACAGGGTTGGCCAAGGTTTCGAAGGGTAGCACAGTCAGAAGCAGGATCAGAAGTCAGGCCTCAATGAGGGACTATATAGCCCTCCACTGAGGCCTGGCTTCTGATCCTGCTTCCGACTGTGCCACGCTGGAGACCAGCAACATCCTCCT